GCGTTCAAGTGGCCTAGCCACCAGATAAAGTTGATTGAGAAAATTTTCTACGCTCTTATTTGTTTGAAATACCTCTCGTAATTCATCATACGAATAAATCAGATCTTCTTTCTTTAAATGCTCTTTTTCGTAAAAGAAACTTGTCATGGCTTCTATAGCCCTAATGAGGTCAATCGTACTTACCTCCCCATTTATGGTTCCCACGTCTTCCGTCATAGTTCCTACATCTTTCTTTGTAATTTCAACTTCTTCCCTAGTTGAAACTTCAACTTCTTCAACTGAAACTTTAACTCATTTTGCACCTCTTCGTAGCAGATTTTCTACAAAATTCATATAACAATTATGACATAATATACCACCACTCTTCTACATTACCTGAGTTAATTCATTATTTTCTGCTTCCTTCCACTTTTTGTCTTTCAAAGAGTGGAATTTAGTTGGCCTGGTAGTTTTGCAATTCATACAACTCTTAGAATTGGACATTTTTTTATTGGGCAAATATAATATGAAGGTCGAGGGATTCAGAGGGATTCAACTAATATTGCTATAGTATGGCACGAAAACTTCAAGTTCACTTAGTACACTTTACTGGATTCACAAACGAGATAATCTACCCGAGCTTCTAAAAAAAGTATTGTAAAACGTATAAAAAAAATTTTCGATCAATTAAATTGCTTGTGTAATGATCTACAAACTCGAGGCATACTCAGGACGGTCTCTTCTGTTCAATTGGATTGGACCTTGCCATAGATGGTTGGGTAGAGACTTTAAAGAAACTAAGGATTTTGTTTTGCGAGGTGTAATGGTGTGTGATTCTGATTCATCGATGTTAGTGGAAGAGGTAAAACTATCATGTCTTGAAGGAGACTCATTTTCATTTGATGCAATCGATTGAGTATCAGTTTCATCATCAATGTTGCCTAAATCAGAATTAGTCACCAATGATTGAGGTGGTGTTGTCTTCTTGAATCTTGGAGAAGGAGGGATAGCATTTTTGCGTTTAGGAGAAGGAGCAATACCTTAAAAACGAGTTTCTTTTATCTTGTTCTTGCGATCAGTCTCCACTGCAATTTATTTTAACATTAATATGGGATGTAAAATTTATATTATCGCCATTTTGAAATAGTTGAAAATGATTGATAAAAAAATTTTAATGAATAGTCACAAAAAATTTTTTATCAACTATTTCGAAAACAGCGATAAATAGAAATACAAGTTTGTACCCCAATTTCTAACGATATTTTCGCATATTTTCTGTAAAATGAAGTCTCCAACAGAAACAGGAAATGTTGGAAAATCATTTTTAAACTATGTTTATAATTAGCGTTAGTTTCTATACAACAATAATAATAATTTAAAATTTGAAACGTAGTAAGTATGCATGCATATACATCATTAATAATTTTCCGAATACTGCCTGGTGCTTGCTCCGATGCATATTTGCCTTTATTGCAACTTGCTGCTAATCTGTCACGCAGGTTTCTCTAAAAAATAATAAATTTAACATAAATTTAACATTATTATTATCTATAAAAAGAACAATACAGTATATAATTATAAATACTTACCCGATAGGACCAGTAAGTATTATGAGGCAGTTGTAAAAAATCTTTCCAATCTTCTTTGAGCTTTTTAGTCTTCTTCCATTGTTTCCACTCTTCTTTGGTAATAGGGTTTTGCGCTGATCCGCGTGGAAACTAAAAAATATAATTTGTTAATCTAATAAAACTTCAAAATATACATGACTAATAAAATACTTACTGATGTATTGACGACGCCTACGATAGCACTTGATAGTGCCGGAAGAGTTTGCATTGGTTCAGAAGAAGTCGGCACCGTAGTAGATTAGAAGTTTTGAGTAACTGCTGCAAGTGTTTGTTGTAAAAGGGCCAGGTTTGATAACAATTGAAGAAATAACACAATGTTCTGGTTTGCTTCTATGTTCGTTATTATCTTTATTTCTAGAATGATTATGTTATTTGTATCATTAAAGCAGGCACCCTTTGCAATAAAAAAAATATTTAATGAATTTAAAGATTTATTTATATAAAAAAGATTTATTTATTTTAATCAATGATATTTATACTTGGTGATTAAGAAGTGATTAAGAAGTGATTGCATAATTTATAGTTGCATATTTATGTATATGATGCCGCCTTATTAACTTTATACTAGTTGCTTGTTTTTACAATTAATTAAATCGTAATGGGAAAACAAGTTTTATGTGCTTGTACATCTTGTCGAAGTGCATCTAATAATGTTGGAAAATATGTAAGTGTCTCTACTCGTACAAGACATCGGTGACAGAAAAAGAACTTCAAGATATATCTATACCTACCTCACTAATTAACATGGAACATTTACATCATAATGAATTTGAAATCCAAAATCACATCTTCATTTCTTCACCTTCTATATTAATAAACCATTTCGCTACTAATTTGTCAGAGAGTGTGTTGGATCATGAAAAAGATATAAATAGTTATTTTTGAAATAGTATTGAATTAATACAACTACTTCGTATCAAATTATCATTATATTGCGATTAGTTGTATCCATCAACTTCTGGCCTAGTGTGACAATGTTTGTAGCCAATTACTATATGCTTGTGAGAACACTATTATTATTTTACTGTTCTCAAAAGATTTTTAATAATGGACAGTAAAAAATTTAAACTGTGCACAAATTTATAATAATGTTCTCATGAGAACTCTGAGAACACTAAGTTTAAATACCAGTTTTGATTAGATTATTTTAATAAGTGAGTAGATTAACAGGAATTATTATTATCATTGTAGGTTCTGAACTAGAAATGCCAGAATTTGAACTAGAAAAAAATATTGGTGGTGAATTAGAAGGAAGTAGAAACAATGAATTAGAAAGATATAGTAACGGTGAATTGGAAGGAAGCAGCAACGATGATCTAGAAAGAAGTGATAATGATAAACTAGAAAAAAGCGATGACAATGAGTTAGGAGAGAGCGATGATGAACTAGAAGAAAGCGGCGATAATGAACTAGAAGGAAGTGACTAGAAGGAAGTGATGATGATGAACTAGAAGGAAGTAACGGTGATGAACTAGAAGGAAGTGACGATGATGAACTAGAAGGAAGTGACGATGATGAACTAGAAGGAAGTAGTGATGATGAACTAGAAGGAAGTGGCGACAATGAGCCTATTTCTGTAGACATTAGTAATAAATACTCTGAATTAATAATTTTAAAATTGGGAAATTCTATTTTATCCAGGTTAAATCACCCGACAAACTATAATGTTATTTAAGTAACTAAAATTAATCGTATTTCGGGTAACTTTAACCCAGGTGAAAATAGAATTTCATTTTAAAATACTTAATACTAATACATAGCTTCTTTTAATTAGATCTATCGGATAATTTAATTTAGGGTCTTCGCCTTTTATATATCAAAAATAAGTATTCTTTATCAAACCAGGCATTCAATGAAATTAGGAATATTTTTAAAATTTCAGAGACATCCTTATATAAGCTTCAACAAATGTTTAAAAATTTAATTTTGCTTGAACCAAAACTCGTTGATATGTGCTGGAATTCTTGTAGCTTATTTTATATAGATTGTGAAGCGTGCCCAAATTGTGGAGAACCACGATATGTATCTGGACAATCATCAAAACGAGCTCGAAAATTGGCCGCTTATTTCTCTGTAATAGATAGTTTACGGATGCAATATAAGGATCTATTACACGCAAAACTTCTTCGTTATAGACATGAATATACCTCCAAAGAGGAATATTTATCAAATAATAGTAAGATTGGTAATATTTTTGATGGCAACCGATACAAGTTCCTAGTTGAATCAGGCCTGTTTTCAGATCCTCGCATGTTGCTCTAACTACATCTACAGATGGATATCAATTATTCAAAAAAAAACAAAATGATTGTTAGGTCATTTTACTTCTAAATGCAAACTTGCCTCCATCTCTAAGAGTTAAAAAGGAAAATTTAATGATAGTTGCAATTATTTCAGGCCCAAAGTCGCCAAAAGATTTCAATAGCTTCTTACGGCCGCTTATAGAGGAACTAAAATGTCTTGAAGGTATCTATTAGACAATAAAAATTTAATACTTTGTTTATAACAACAATTTTAATGAATCTGGCAGATCTTTTTTTTTTGAATTTGTATAAGATTTTACAAAATTAAAAAAAGTTCAAACCTCATTCGTAGAGATTGTACCCGTCATAAATTTTTAATCACTGGGTTATTTAGATAACAAACCGAATTATAAATCGGATAAATTGGATAACTCGAATAAATATAATTGCAGGTTACCCGGTTTATTACTAATATACTGTGGCAGATTGCTTATCAAATAAAGAATACATTAGCACTAAAATACTTTAAACGCTTCTGTATTGAAAATATCTAGCTGCTATAGTATATTATTTTAGTATAGTGGACTCCATTTTTTCACTATCTAGATTTTCCCAGATGTCATGAGATTACGATTCAAGGTAAGTTTCTTGTTCAGATTTTATTACCATTAAGTTTAACCAATGTAAAGTTTTAACATATGAGAGTTACAAATTACTAAATTTTTTTTCTTATACGTATGGATATTGATCTATGCTAATCACAGGGCTATATTATAAAATAACAAGCGAAAATATTTCATATGTATTTAAATAAACAAAATATCAGTTTCGAGTTATCGAATAAACGGGTACAATCTCTACTCACCCATTTATTAAAATATATTGAATTAAATTAATTTTTAAAAAGTTTTTCAAATTTTGATCTTGCCAGGTTAAGAAAAACCAATTAATTGATTTTGCATGGCCTTGTATTTATAATAACAAGTATAAAATTTTTTTCTATAGCAGGTGTATCGTGCTATAACGCCTTATCACAAAAGACATTTACATTACGTGGCCATATATTATCATGGTCTGGAGACATTCCAGCCTTATCCAAAATAATGTGTGTTTCTGGTCATAACGCCTATAATGGATGTCGCTTTTGCTACTTGCGTGGAATTTATTCTGAAATAGCTCGGCACATATATTTTCCACTTTCACCACCAAGAGGGCATAATAGCACAACGTATGATTCAAATAATTTAGCGATGCGCTCCCATACCAGTTATGGTCAAGATATTAGAATGATGGAAAACAAAAGTGGAGCTGAACTACGTAGAATAGAGCGTGAGACAGGTGTAAATGGGCATAGCATTTTATTTGAATTACGTTCTATTAGCTTTCCAGCATCATTCTCGATCGACATAATGCATGCGCTTTTAGAAAATACTGCTCAACATATGTTTCGCCACTTTGCTGGTAAATTTTTTAATAATGAAGAACTTAATAATACCAATTATAAAGTTTCAGCCGATAGTTGGAATAAAATTGGAAAGATAATGGAACTTAATCGCAAAATGATGCCTATGGAATTTGGAAGACCTCCAACTAATATTCATAAATATTATACTGCTTTTAAAGCAGAAGATTGGTATAATTGGACAGTCCTATATTCACTTCCGCTTTTTCAGAAACATCTTTCAAAAAGGTAATACGGTCTATCCTATCAAAACTTATGGTTCATGTCACTTATTGTTTTTTCAATGGTATTAAAAAATATAACCCGCAAAAATAGTAAATCTGAAGCTTCTTTTTCAGATTTAATTTTTTTAATTGTTATTTATGAAGTATTTAAGGCTAAAATTAAGCGGGTTCTCAAATTTCGGGCCAAATGAATCTTGACCGATAATAGTCGATGCATAGATGACATGAACCATAGACAAAATTTTCATCAGATTTAAGAAGTTTAATTACTATATCAAAAGCAAATAAGCGGATTAGTTTTAAAAGGATTGATTGCAATTTTACCTTACAGACATTTAAACAGTTGGGCGAAGTTTGTTAAGGCAACACAATTATGCCTTGAACCAGTCATTTCCCAAGAGCAACTTGAAGAAATAAGAATTCTCTTTATAAATTTTATTAATTACTATGAAAGGTAAATTATTTTTTTAAGACTTACGCGGGATAATATTTGAATTTATTTGCATAAGGGTTATTCACTTTTATTTGAATTTATTCCAATAAAATTGAATGTTTGAGATTCGATACATTTAGTTTTACATTTTGATAATGTAAGTTTCCCACCTTTTTTTTTTTTGAAACTCTCGTGTCCATATAAAACTAATTTCAATTTATTAAATAACAGTGCCGCATATTATTATAACCATATGGGCGAAAATTATTGATGAAAATATTAATAAGCAAGGATATAACTAATTAAATACGACCAAAATTATTAACTTTGTCATGTTTTCATAAACGATTTCATGACGGTTTCATAAGCAATTTATAACCCAGAAAACAAACAAAACAATCATATAATTCAATTATTTTCAATAATCACCAGAACCGATAAAATCCGTCCATACGATTCTATTAATTAGTATTTGATGCTTTATTGAAGATTTTTTAGAAAAAAAAAGAAACGAATCAATCTAATTTTTTTTTTCTTTTTTTTTTGCATTATAACGGCATAGAGAATATTACCAAAAAGATCCTGAACGTCTTCAAGCAGCACTTATCAGCTTCCATTACCTTTTGCATATTGCGAAGTCAATCTTTGAAACTGGCCCACCGTGGGCAACGTGGCAATTCCCAATGGAAAGACTATGTGGAATGCTGATACCTCTAGTTCATTCTCGGCAAAATCCATACAAGAATTTAATAAAGCAAGTAACGATATGGACTCAATTTGCGCACTTGCAGTATTATGCTGAAAATAAAAGATTTTTTGACGATCTTCCGGAAGATCATCAGACTCAGCATATTTATAATGAAGAGAAATTGTATTCATTGTTCAAAGAGCATATAATGACAAAGACTGAGGTTCAAAAGATCAAGCAGTAGTATTTAATTTAGTTATTGGCCGCATTAAGGTAAGTACGTACGTACGTACGTACGTACGTACATGCAGTACTAGGGTGTGCGATATACTATGCAAACCAAAACTATATGTGGTCACTTAAATATTTTAATTAACCTGATTCTTTAGTACGTATCATTTTTATAATATAATTAATTCGTTATCATATTATTAAACCATATATAGTTTTGATTTACATAGCATTGCAACCTTGCATACCCCCAGTGCAGTACTTAAATGTTCAAGATTTGCAACATATATATCTTAAAAATATATGTATAAATAATAAATACAGGTGAATAGCAAAATTCAAAAATATGGCAAACTACGAACTAAATTTGGGGTGATAATTGGCTCAAAGCTTGCAAATCGTAAAGGAGATATCTCGCGAAATAATTATTCGATTGCGGTGAGTTAATCTTAACTGTATTATTCAAGTGAATCAAATTTGTTGAAAAAATAAGAATTTATAGTCATAATCTAATATAATTAATATAGGCAAAGCTTCTGGTTGACAAAAATGCACATAGCCAAAAAGCACCTGTTTTGTTTGAGGAGCGAGTATTTTACGGCCAGGTTTTGTTTTATTTTACGCATGAATATGAAGGCGAAATATCCATGCTTGCGTTCGTGCAGTGGATAAGGAATCCAGAAGTTTATGGAAATAATATACTATATTTTTGCAACTTTGGTGAGACTAGTGTCATTAATATGGCTACTATTGACCGCTGTGTTGGATTTCTCAAACTTGCAGAAAATAAGTATCTTATCATAGATAGAGAAAATTGGGTTACATTCCGGTAAAATTTAGAATATTTTATTTTGCGGTATTTAATAATTGCTAGCTAATTTAATATTTATTTGATTAGTTAATGAAGTTAATGAGTAGCAATTAACAAGAATAATAAAGAAATACTTTAATTTATGATAACGCGTGCTTGGTACTAAACCCGTGTACAACTTTATATATGTGTAACACTTAGATCGCGCAAATTAGTTGATTCACCCGTTTTTTTGTTACTACAATTTTCCCGTCTTATTAAATAAAGCTAAAATTGATATATCGATATCAAATTTTAATTCAACAATATAATCTTACGGTAAACCTGAATATTTC